TAGAGAGCAAACTATGGTCACCAGAGGGGAGGTGGGGCATGGGGATGAGGGAAACAGGTGATGGGGATGAAGGAGCGTACTTGTCTTGATGAGCACCAGGTGATATATGCAAGTATTGAGTCACTATATTGTACACTAATATAACACTGTATGGTTACTCACTGGAATTAAAATAAAAACTTAAAGGAAGAATTCCCCCAGTGCCAGGCATACGTTACCCCCTTAAGCCCCACCTCCCCCACTCTACCCTCCAACCAGCCCCATCACTTTCCCACATCAGCTCGGCTTGTCATGGGCTCCAAGATGCCAGCCTTCTGCAGCCTCCTCCTCGAATCTGGACCGTGTGCATCCTGATTTGACCTGCAGGAGCCCAGTCTCATTTGGGATCCCTCCCCTGCCTTCACCTGCTTCTCTTTGCCTGGCCAGGGGAGCACATGGGGTTCTCAGGATTCTAGCCTAAGACAGCTTGTGTACCTTCTAACCCCAGGGCACTGGGGCTGGGGCCTCCTGCCCAGCAGGATAAGACCTCAAGGGAAGCACACTGCACTGGGAAATAGAAGAGCCTACATCTCCTCTGGGCTCTACATTGAGAATAATAGTCTCTTACCTTTGCATCTTCAACCCCCAGGAGCTCATTTAGCTCTGCTATGCTCCTGTGACAGGGAGGCCAGCAGCTACTACCACCATCTCTCCAAACACAGAGATACTAAATCCACCTAGATACCGAATTTCTGGATGCTCTGTGAGATGATCCTGAGTTCAAATCCTACTCTTTCATCTACTCATTGTGTGATATTAGGCAAGCCACTTAACCTGTGTGGCCTCAGTTCCTGTATTTATTTATCCTACTGTAAAAACTAAATTGGATACAATATGAGGAGTCCTCATTTGTAGAGTGACACACAGTAAGTGCCCCACAGCTAGTGGCTATCCGTAATCAGCATCATTACCATCATCTTTATCATTATCTAGGGTTTATTGTTATCCTGTCCCAGCCTCATCTGCAAAACGAGAGTTTGAAACAAGCTGGTCTAGTTCCCCTCCAACTTTGAGTGACCACCTCAAACACACACGCACATGTGCATGTACATAAAGGCACACACACATGCAAGCACATATGCTGCCCAATGAGGCAGAACAAGGGGCCCCAAGCCTACAAAGCCAAAATGACAAGCCTGGGCTTCCTCCATGTCAAGTTCAGGTGGCAGGGACAGCGCCATGGTGGCTGAAAGGCAAGAGGGTAGGGAGCAAGGGGAGGTGGCCAGAAGGAACAGCAGGCTGTAGAGAGACCTGGGGCCTTGAGGGGAGCCCCAGAGCCTTCCCTCACTCCCCGCAGGCCTGGAAGCAGTGCCCCATAAAACCTAATGGATATGTGAAGTATCAGCATAAGGGAAGGTCTGGGAGGCAGAGAGAGCTCTCATCCCTCCCAGGAACCAGGGCTGAGACACAGTGGCGGAGTGACAGGCCACTTGCAGCCTTGGGGACCTGGCTGAGCGGACAGTGTAGGCTCCACCTAGTGGAGGGGGGCAGGAGCTGTGACAGCAGCATGGCTTACCCTGTCACCTGGGTTCCTCCCCTCCCCACCCCCATACCTAGGGCTTTGCTGGGAGAAAGCGACAAAGCCTTCCCCCACTGTAGCCTGGCTTTCCGGGAAACGGGCGTGCCTGGCCCTTCACCTGTATTCTGTGTTCCCAGTGCTCTGTGCCGGGCTCATCCTGGACTCAGGAAGGATGACCGTGCTGGGGTCCCTCCAGCCTCAGGGCCATCTCACTGGATGCAACAAGCTCTGGGGAGAGGCAAGCTTTGGATCAAAGAGCTACATCTCTCTGGGAGGCTACTTTGTTAGAGGAGGCTTCTCCTTGAGAAGAGGGAGTCACACGCCTGAAGTCCCTTGAGATACCATGGCCTGGACCCAGCAGGCAGGAGGGCTCGGCGGTTTGCCCTGTGCCCCGGGTGAGTTCCAGGGGAAAGGGGTCGCCAGAGCATTGCTGCCGGCAGCCTGGCTCTCCAGAAAAGAGGGTGTCTGCTGTCAGGGGAAGGAGGGCCCTTCACTCCCTTCTCCCCTTGGATGGCACACACAGAGCCATCTCCGCCATCTGCCCACAGCCTATAATTCAGCCGCCCAGCTGCACCGAGTGCTTGACTGCTCTGATTGCGGGGAGGCCAGATTACTGAGTGAGCGGGGTGATTGGCAGGTGCCCTGAGGGCCCAGCTGCCCAGGGAGCAGAGGCGGGCTCCACGTGACGCTGAGCTGCTCACGAACCCCAGCTCCCAGGCCTGCCGTGAGGCCCCCTCCAGGAACTCCCATGTGTCCCTGACCATCATTCTTAAATCCGGGCTTCTGCAACTGCAATGTGCAGACAGGTCCCCTGGGATCAGGTGAGAATTCAGGTTCCTGATTCACTAGGTCTGAGAGGAACCAAGATTCTGCATTTCTAACAGCTCCCATGCTGCTGAGAATGCTGATGCAGAGACTATACACTGAGTAGGAGATCTTTAGAGTTTATGTAGCCTGTGTGTGTGTGTGTGTGTGTGTGTGTGTGTGTGTGTGTGTGTGTAAAATCTCAATCTGTCTGGGCTCTGGTAACAGCCCTGTGGAAAGGTGGTGAATAATAATGATGATGATGATGTTGATAATTGCTATCACTCTTCATGCCTCCGGTGCAAGGTGCTGTGCTTAGCACTTTATAAATCTTACCTCATTCACTCCTTACAACACCTCGGTGATAGCGCTCTTTTTTCAGAATTTACAGATGAGAAGAAAAACCTGACATTCTGAGCTAACTCAGTTACTTGCCCCAGGTCGTGAACCTCATGAGTGGTAACATTAGAATTCAAGCTCATCTCTTCTACGGCAGCCCCCTCCTCTAGCCACATACAAGGTTAGCAAAGATGAGCCTCTTAAGAAGCCAGGGTCAAGGGTGCAAGCTCTGGAGTTAGCGCGTGCCTGACTCTAGGAGGATCCCCAAAAGCATGGAGTCTGGAGCCAGGCTGCTTATACTTGAATCCTAGCATTGCCACTTGCTAGCTTAGTGATCTCAGACAACGCACTTAACCTCCCTGTGCTTTTAGCTTCTTCAGCTGTGAAGCAGCAATGATAATACTAGGGTTATTATGAGGATTATATACACCATGAGGTCTCATTACACATACATATCTTGTAATATATATAATCTTCACAATAACCCTGGTATTATCTATCTATCTATCTATCTATCTATCTATCATCTATCTATCATCTATCAATCATCTATCTAATGAGATTACCTAGAGAGAGCAGTTAGAGAGTGTCTGGTGCAGATATGAGTGATGTTGAGCACTAGGGAAATGGGAATATTGATACAATAGAAACTATTACTTAACCAAGTTTTTTTAGCATGTGCTGGACACTTTTCTAAGCATTTGACATATGGTCACTCATAATTCTCCTAGGAATGCTATAAACTAGGTGTAATATTAATCATATTTTATGGACGAGGAAACTGAAGGCACAGAGTTCAAATGACTTGCCCAAATCACATTGCTAAGTAGCGGTAGAGAGGAATTTGAACCTTGTGTGGTTCACCCAACACATGCTGCCACACTAACTGTTTACTATGTGTCAGGCCCTGTGGTAGGTACTGGAGCACAGTAGTGAGCACGATAGACTCCCTGCTCTCCTGGGGCCGACACTCTTGGGTCCTAGAATACTATCACCTCAGCACTCTGCACAGTGCTTGGCACATGACAAAGCCTCAATAAACATTAGCTCTGCTTCTCCTCTTACCCTCCTCTCTCTCCTGGGGCAGTCATCACCAATGGATCACTGCCTTCTTTCCCACAGAACCCACTTAGGGCCCCCAAACCTGTCTCAAGACAGCACTCCAGACAGCCTCTACCAAACCTTTGGGTTTGCACGGAGGACAAAACCATGTCAGCTCTGAGCAACCATCCTCTAACAGAACAAATGAATGCTTTGGACTCCAAAGCCCATGCTGTCCGCCCCCTTGGGAAGAAGTCACAAGGTTCGGAGACAGGGGTGCCAAAGGCTTGTACAGGAAAGAGCTGAGAAGCTGAGATTAGTCAGGGAGGTGGGGAGAAAAAGAAATGCCCACAGCACCTCAACTCTCTTGCTCTTGGCCTGGAGCTCTCCAGAGAGGAGGTCCTGAGCAGGGTGACCAGCAGCAGGGTCTGATCAGGGTCTGGCCAACCATGTGCAGACCTGGTCCCTAGGGACACTGAGTATCACTGATAATCCCATGAGGCCCAGGTCTTTGGAGGCTGGCACTAGGCTGGGGGAATGATAGAGGGGCCAAGGCAAAGGGGAAACAAGGGGCTCCCCCCAATCTGGAATCTGTTGCCTGCCACAGAGCCTGCCCACTGCCCAGCAGTGCATTCCCACCCCTGCAGAAAGCCTTGCTGCAATGCCTGCTTTATGGCCTCTGCCAAATGAAGCACAAACTTAACTACATCACCCCCCCGACAGGACAGGGGAGGGGGCTGGAGGTGGCACACTGGGCTGCCTCAGCCCCCTAATCTAATCACTGGCGTGGGTCATTTCAATTACGGACACCAGAGTGTGGTGGGGGACCTGGCTGCTCATAAAAGCCTCCATGCTGTTGCTCAGCTAATTATGAAGCTCTTACTGTCTCAGCAGGTAAATAACTCAGAACTGAAAGGTTCGGGCTGCTGAGATGGAGCATGAGCCAGGGAACAGGACAGGGAGATGCCTGGGATGGGAGCCCGGGCACAGATGGGGTCGCAGGGAGGGAGGCACAGCCGTCCTGGAGGGAACAGGAGAACTGGGGTCTCTGCCCTGGGACGATCACCCAACATCCAGGAATTGGGGGAGGAATTCCCTACCTTAAACACAAGATTGAAGTTTTCTAGAAACCTCAGCGCCACACCTTTGGATAAAAATTTCAGCTCCACCTCCTTTTGCTAACCTTGTCTTTTTTATTTTTTTAAAGATTTTATTTATTTATTCATAAGAGACACAGAAGTAGAGGCAGATACAGAGGCAGAGGGAGAAGCAGGCTCCTCACAGGGAGCCTGATGTGGGACTCGATCCCAGGACCCCGGGATCATGCCCTGAGCCCAAGGCAGATGCTCAGCTCAACTGCTGAGCCACCCAGGCATCCCTAACCCTGCCTTTATGTGTATATTTAGATCCTTGGGAAGGGAGAGGGCCCCGGAGAGCCAGGGGCAGTTCCATGCTGGCTGTCCCTGGGGTTGGAGCTGTGATCTCTTTGGTTTGCTTCCTGGTCTGACCTGTCCAGGCTCAAAGCTGGAGCACAGAAGCTGGCCAGGTCATGGAGGTGTAAGGCGAGGGGCTCAGCTTCCTCCACCACAACAGCTCCTCCCCTGGAGGACACGCAGGGAGCCAGAGCCCCCGGCTATGGGCTGTGCACGGGGCGGCAGGCAGGCTGTGGGGGAGCACGGCAGCAGCTCTGGAAGCTATTCTGAGATCCAATGACATATAAAATAGAGGGCTGCCTGTCTAGCCTGGGTGCTTAGCTCAGCCTTTACTCTCGACGTCAGCGAAGTCCCCAAAATTGGAGCTGCGATTTCTTGGTGAGTTCTGAAACTACCTTAGATTCTGGGAAACGGCAGATGGTCGGAGCATTCACAGCTGGGAGAATCCCATTTTTGCTCTGTTCCTCAGTTTCCTTCCTCTGTGAAACAGGAATCGTGAAACTTCTAAGCATTTGGAGGAGCCGAGCTGAAGCTGCTCTGTAAATAACGGCTGCGGGCGCCTTGTCTTCCTCCCTCTGCACAGGGCCTCTGGGCCCTGGCTGCCAGGTCGAGGTCACGGCCACTTGGTGCTTGGACGGAGGTCCAAGGCTTCCCTCCTCAAGGGCTGACTCTTCCAAGCAGACATAAAGAACCTGGAGACGTTCTCTGGGGAGGAAGCGAAGGGGGGCTGCATGGAGAGTGGAAGCCCCACCACCCACGGCCCCTGCTAGAAGGCCTGCGATGGCTTCAGTCCTTGGCCTGTGGATCCTGGAATGAGGGCGCCTGCAGGGAGAACAAGAGCCCGTAACTGGACTCTGATTGAAGTACTGGAACAAGGACCTCACACCTTAAGACGAGAATCCATCTGTTGACAGCAGGCAGGTCTTGTTGTTATTTTGGGATGTATCATCTACTTTTCAAAGTACCACTAAATACATGGCTTCACTCTGATCCTCAGAGTTCTGTGATTTGGGTAGAGTGAGTCGGAGCAACCCCAATGCCAAATAGGGTAATTGAAGCTCTGAGAAGTTAGCTCCAGGTCCCCTGGCTAGATAGTGATGGAGCCAGGACCCAAACCAGATGCCTTCTCCAGGGACAGCTGGAAAGGAAGGAGACTTGGTAGTGAGGAGCTCACGGCAGGCCTTTGCCCCTCTAATAACCGAGGAAGTGAAGAGCAATCTAGCAGGTGGTGGCAGCAGGTAGAGGCAGAGGAGGCCAGGAACAGAAAGGAGGAAGTGAGGAGGGAAACAGGTGGAGGCTTGCATGGACACTTCCTGTTCACAAACTTCTTATGTTCCTCATTTCATTAACAGCAGCAGTGGAATTTCATGGACAATTGGCGTTGAGCACTAACTGGGAGGTAATGAGAGAGGGAGGATGCAGGTAAAGGCTGTTTGAATTTAAATTCTTTTTCTTTAGGGGGAAGGGGGGGTAGGTTTTTTTTAAAGACAATTTTAGCGCCGCAAAAAGTTCCTAGCAAACAGCTTTGGACTTTTGAGTCCTCCACTCACAGTATTAGGAGTGCTGATTCTCGCTCAGCCTACTGTGGTCTACCCAGCAAGCTCCCGATGGCTGCCCTGACAGCGGGCAGAGGGACGCAGGAGGACAGGGAGTCTGACCTTGGGGCGACTCTCCCCTCAGACCTGGGAAGACACGCGAGAAATGTGTCCAACATCAGCAGTGAACTAGGATGAATTGCTCTGCGATGGTTATTGCACAGCTGCCATGAGCAAAACTCTGTGTGGACCCGGGCAGAGATGGGACAGAAACTAGAATTAGAAAACAGGGTGACTCTTCCAGGAGTATGTGGTCTGTGTGACAGGTGATGCACATACACATGTACACACACCCCACACATGTACACATACTCAACAACACACACCCCAACACACATATCCACACATACACAGCACACATGTACACACATACCCCACATCACACACATCTGTACACACACATATAAATGCACATGCACAGCACACATGTACACACAACACACTCATGTACACACAACCACAACACACACCTACATACACATGTGTATACATGTACACACACCACATGTAGACATGCATCCCACATCACACACACACCTGCGTACACACATGCATACACACGTACATACCCCACAACACATACACCTATGTACACACACTCCACACACATAGGTACACATAAACATAGGAGGCCATAAAATATTCAAAGGAGGAAGGACATAGAAGAGGATAATACCAAAGATAGAGAGAAGGGGACAGAGTCATGAGATGATCAGAAGAAGAAGGTGGGGGAAGGCTGTTCTGAGCAGGGTTCTTAGACGGAGTGGCACACAGATTGGTGAAACAAAAGAATATGTCAACTAGCAGCAGAGGTTTGGGTGGAATGGCAAGCCGGTTAGGCTAGACGGAAGCCTCCATAAAAGAAGCAATGCGAAATGAAGAAAGTCGAAATAAGAGGAAGGAAAATTTGTGGAAGACTTGAGCTCTAACCTTAGAATTCAAGCTATGGGGCCACGGGAACTGTCATAAGATAAGCTAGTTGGTGCAGATTTGGCTACTAGAGAGTAAGAGCCAGAAGTTGATGAGTCACCCAAGTGCCCTGTCATTAGGGCTCTTCTGTCTTAACAAATAAATGTGGGCATAGAGGGAAGGTACAGGACCATTGGGACTGTCATGGTTAGTTTTGTGTGTGAATTTGGCTAGGCCACAGGACCTAGATATTTGATTAAACATCATTCTAGATGTTTCTGTGAAGGTATTTTTTATATGAGATTAACATTTAAATCAGTAAACTTGGGTAAAACAGATTCCCTTCCAGAATGAGCCTCATCTGATTAGTTGAAAGCCTCAGTAGTAAAACACGGGCTACCTGGAATAAGCGGGAATCCTGCCAGCAGACACTCCTGCCTTTGCTTTGGACTCAAACTGTAACTACTCCGGGGGTCCTGGCCTGCCAGCCTACCTGCAGATTTTGGACTTGTCAAGCATCCACAGCCATGAGAGTATTATGGACTGAATCGTGTTACCCACCCTCAAATTCATGTTGAGGTCTTAACCCCCAGTACCCCAGAATGCATATCTGGAGTAGGGCCTTTAGAGAGGTGATTCAGGTTAGGTGAGATTATTAATGTGGGCCGTAATCCAATATAGTTGGTGTCTTCGTAAAAGGAGGAAATTCGGATACAGATATGAACATGCACAGAGGGAAGGCCGTGTGAGAACACAGGGACAAGGCAGCCATCTGTGGGCCAAGGACAGAGGCCTCAGAAGAAGCCAACCCTGCTGACACCTTGATCTCAGACTTCCAGCCTCCAGAGCTGTGAGAAAAGGCATTTCTGTTAAAGCCACAAAGTCTATGGTGTTTTGTTATGGCAGCCCTTGTAGACCAATAAAACGATAGTGGATTATAATCTCCTTGAACCCAAGGACCATGCATGAAGCCTATCCCCCAGCTCAGGGCCTTACACATAGTGTGTGTTGGCTAAATGTTGTGCTAGATTGGGTCTGATGGGCTTGTTACCCGGCTTCTCTCCAACAGTGATGTGGTGCAGGGGAAGAGGTGCTCATCTGAGACACCGGGAACAAGAGCTTCAGGACACAGATGTGCCTTGAATCTTGCACCCTGCTTTGTACAAGATTGTCCTTGGGAATCGAGTCGAGTGAAGAATGACATATTTTGTATTCTCTGGTCTGCCTAACATAACACCTAAGGCTTAACTGACACTCAGTAAACTGAGTCATTCAGTTTACTGAATGACCAAGATAGAACTGGGAGATGAAGTGATCTTACACTTAAAAAACAAAAAACAAAAAAACCTAAACTGTCAAAACATGTATGTATGTAATGTACCTAGACATTTTCTGAAAGAGATTGCTAATGGTGGTCAGTTTTGGGGAGTGAAATAGAATAAGAAGGCAAGCTTCCTTTTCACTGTATACCATGAGATATCTGGACATTTTTGTCATGAATACATTCATCCTAGGTCATTCAGTACCTCAGCAGGTGTGAACACCTGCACTGTAACAAGAGGTGAGGAGCTTTTTAACCCATTATGCTCCATTCCTTCCTCTCTACAAAACCCATTAGCCTGCCCTGAGTCTCCACGAGCTGCCCCACAGGGCCCAGAGGGAGCACAGGGTGATAGCATAGAGCCCCAGCATGATGGTGTAGGCTTGAAAGAGCAGTCGGTCAAAACGTTCCAGGAGGGCCAGCCATTTAACCTCCTGTTGGTCTGACTGGTCCCAGGTTTGGAAGTAGGTGCTGATGGATTTAAGCTGGAACCAGACTTCCTCCAGGGTTCCTGTTGGGGCCAGGTGCTCTCGACAGATGGGCTCTGTATGAGAGAGGAAAACATCCTAGGTGAGCCAAGGGCTCCCAAAGCCCCCTGGGCTTCCCACTGGAGCCAATGGAAGCCAATGGAAGCCTTGGTAAGCTGCTTACCAAGGAAGGTTTGTGGGCAAAACAGGGTGGCAGATTGGGTTGGGGTTGGGACCTTCCCCCCCTGCCCCCCCAGCCTGCTGAAGGGAGGATAGGCTGTGCAGAAGGAAGCAGAGCTGTGTTGTGCAGAAAGGACATCTAGGCTAGATCCATCCAGGAGATTTTCCGAGCTGGGGGCCAGCCCCACTGACTCGTAGCTTTAGGGACTGGGATGATTATTTTTGTTTAATTGTGATATAATTTACATATGACATTATATTTCAGGTGTACAGCACAATAATTATATATATACCAAAATTATGTCTTGAACATAACCCTGGAACAGCAGGTGGGTGGTAGGTAGAGGGTCCCCAGGTCCATAAACATTAGGAAAATGCTGGGAACCAGCAGACTCACGACACAGACGAATGTACATATATACCAGTACATCAGAATAAGTCTGGTTAACCTCCACTACCACACAGTTACACACTTTTTTTTCTTGTGAAGAGAACGTTTAGGATATACTCTCTTTAGCAACTTTCAAGTATACAGTAAAAATACAGAACGCTTCACAAGTTTGCCTATCATCCTTGCACAGGGGTCATGCTAACCTCTGTATTGTTCTGATTTTAGTATGTGTGCTGCCAAAGTGAGCAGTGGGGTAATTCCTACACTGGTTCCCATTAAGCAACAGGGACCCAAATGCATACAAGCATGTGCGCACACACACCAGTACTCTATGATTCTGGGGCCAGTTGCTCGGTCACTTTAGCTAACCGGTTAAAACTGGAAAATACAAACAAAAAAAGCAAAGTCAACTGAAGGCCTGACCTCTGAGCTAAAGTGCAGCTTTCTGGAAAGCCAACAGTTCTCCAGAGAAGTAAAATAAATGCATCACAGAAGCAAGGAAGCAAGTGTTTCAAACTTTTTGCACAGCAGGACACATGGCCTGGTGCTCCACTAATGGGACCCGGTGCAGAGAGTGTGATAGAGCAAGCCTGGGTAGGGACCTTGAGGTTTTTCACTAACCTGGAACCCCAGCAAGCTGGGCTCTGGGATCTACTCTAGGCCCATCGACATCAGTGTCCCCTTGAAAGCAGAAGAGGGGCCGCTCCTGCCCACTGTTCCGCTCATCATGGAGCAATTTGACCAACAGGATGGACTTAAATAAGCTGATAACCAGGAAAGCCATACAGACTGTGAAGAAGACCCCTGAGGGAAGGAACCAGAGGAGGTGGAATTAGCCAGAATGTCTGGGGCTCTCCTGCCCCTGATCTGAAATGCAACATCAGGTCTGTGACAGGAATGATGGAAGTTGGGTGTCTGGTGTCCCCGTGGGTGCTTACCAATCAGAGGGGTGCTCACTGCACTCCTTGGCATCTCATCAGACATGTTGACCCTGAAGACGGTGTAGCCTACCAGCACGCTGGTCTTGAACATAATCCTGGCCCGGCAGGTGGGTGGTAGGTAGAAGCTCCCCAGGTCCACAAGCATTAGGAAGATGCTGGGAATCAGCAGGCTCACGATGTAGACCAGTGGGCGCCTGCGAATCACCACCTGGCCAGGGACAAGGCGTCTACTGAAGAGAAGGTCTGCACTGAGGGGCTAAAATCCGAAGCCAGGGACACCTGGGTGGCTTAGTGGTTGAGTGTCTGCCTTCGGCTCAGGGTGTGACCCTAGGGTCCTAAGATCGAGTCCTGCATCAGGCTCCCTGCAGAGAGTCTGTGTCTTCCTCTGCCTGTGTCTCTGCCTCTCTCTCTGTCTCTCTCATGAATAAGTAAATAAAATCTTTTTAAAAACTAAATAAAAGTTAAAAAAATAGAATCCATAGACATCCCAACATTTCTGCATAATGTGAAAAGACTATGTAGGTTAGAAAAAGATTATTTTGTGGTTTAGAAAATAGAAAAAAAAACCCTTTATGCTTTTATGTGAACTAACATTACTAATTATAAGAAGAAGCATCAGCATCTATTTGTTTGCCACCGGCCATGTGCCAGGCACTAGCCTAAGTGTCTCCTGTGTCCTGTCCTGTTCAATCCTCACACCCACTTGAAGGGCTGGGCATTAGTATCTCCATTCTACAGACAAGGAAACTGAGGCTCACAGAGATTAAACTGCTTGTTTAAACTCACACAGCCAGCGAGTAACTGTTTTAAATCCAGGTCTTACACTAAGATCTTTCTCCTTATGCCACTTATGCAACATCTGGCACTGTTCTCGGCTTACCCTGACTTCCTCTGTGGAATGTGAACACCTCAGCACTTGTGTGTCTGTCAGAGTTTGGGCAGGAACAAATGGCACCCCTGGGAGATCTGAGGAGAGCTTAGCAAAGAGACCGCTTACAAGGTGTGGGCAGGCAGAGGGCAACCACAAGAAGGAGGGTGGTGCCCTGGATGTTTGAGAGGACTGACTGAGTTATCCCTACCCTTAGCCCTGATGGGGCCCGGGGCTGGGAATGTGACTAGAACCTGAGGAGGGAGAGCTCACACAGGATCTGGGGCTCCCTCTTAGGGGCACAGCCAGCCTGGTGGTGACTCCACAGGGAGAAAGATGGAGAGATAACCATCTTACTCTCCCTCCCCCTCCTCCTGCCAATCCATTCCCTCTTCCTACTGGTCAACGAGGCTGCGGCTCATCTCCAGAAGCACAGGACAGCAGAGGGGGCGAAGCGGATCTAAGCAGGGGGGGGACAGTGAAGATGCCCAGCAGCATGGCCAGGTAAACAGAGCTGCTGAGTGGGGTTTGCAGCTGGGGATTTGAGACTCAAAGTTGCTCTGCTACTGCCATTTTTTGTATGCCTCACTTCTCTGGGATGGTGGTAGGAAATGTCTTTAATAAACACAAACTATTTTCATCAGGGAATGACAGGACTGCTTCCCTTGACACTTTGAGGGCAAGAGCAGCAATGATGAAAAAAATCCCTCATGGGGCCAAAAATAATCCCTATTTTATAGTGGGTATTCAGGACATGTCTACTGAACAAATGAAGGTTCTGAGCCCTTTGCTGTGGGATCTGGGAACAAAATAGTGTCTGGAGTCTCCCATTTCTCTGATTCACTACACAACTGAAAGCTTTCTAGGTGTCCAATAACATATGAGATGCTTTGACACATGTGACGTGGTTTATTTAATTCTCACTGTGAGCTTCTTGGCAGGTCATGGAACACCGCCGTTCTAGAGTCGAAAAAATAAAGCTCGGTTCCTGAAGTAAGTTGAGTAAATGGCAGAGCTGGGCTGTGCCCGGTTCTCTTCCACCACAGAGTCGCTACAACTCTTGATCTGACCAGACATCTGAGCTGAGTTCTTCTCCCTCATCTTCGCCTCCTACTGTGTGAGGCAAGCACATAGGGAGAAGCCCAGGCAGAGGCCAGGGTCAGAGGAGATGGTGGTGGGAAGAGCTTGGTTGAGACCAGATATCTAGCACCTTGCAGAAGAGAACGGGGTGGGGGCTCCCCAGCCACTAAGTCTGGGAGCATATCCGGACTCTGTGGAGCTTGGCAGGTCAGAGCTGTTTGGAGGATTATAGTCTATTAGGCATAACTGGGTACAAATATCTGAACAAAAGCAACACTCAGGCTTTGTAATAATTCAGTTAAAACACATTTCTACCAAAGCATGGTCAACAAGGAAAACAACAACAAAATGACCTGTTGTCCATTTCAGCCTCTCAAGCTGTCTTCATCATGCCGTGACAGAAATGGCAGTGGTTAGCTGGGGATGGTAGGACGGGAGTCAAGTGGTCAGAGTCCACCAGGGTCTTTGTGGTGTGCCCGGCGGGGTGGTGGGGGGTGACCAGGACTCCCCTAGACTTCCTGGCAGATATGACATGAAGAGGTTGGAAAGGGTAAGAACACCACCCTAAAGAATGTCCAAGTAGCCACGATGGTTAAGCAGAAACAGCCCAGACTTAGTCAAGAGAATCAAGCTCCAGAGGCCTTCAATTCCAAGTGCCCCGATACATGCCAGTTTAAGTGATCCTGGGTATATGCCTTGATTTTTCACTTGTTAAAAGCACTTTATTGGAAAGGCCACAGGGTGTAGGTGGTTGAGCATCCAGCTCTTGGTTTTGACTTGGGTCCTGATTTCAGTGTCATGAGATTGGGCCCTGCATTGGGCTCCACACTGGGCATGGAGTCTGCTTGGGATTCCTTCTCTCCCTGTGCCCTTCCTCTCTCTCTCCCTCTAAAATAAATAAATAAATCTTTTAAAAAGAACTTTTAAAAAATTAAAAAGCACCTTGCTTTTTCTTGCTGAACATCTTGGCTATCATTGAGATGGGCTGTTGTACTGTGTCAATAACGCTCCTGTGTAATGAGCACATGGTTAGGTGGTTCCTCTCTACCCAGAGGCTCATGTAGAGAATGAACATAAACCTGGGCCAGAACCAAAGATGGCTCCCCAGTTTTACCAGACCACATGCCCCCCATGGTGCCAGGGAAGAAGTGTGGCAAGAGCCAAGGGACTGGGAGAGGCAGGCTGGCTCTGGGAGCATGCGGCTTGGGAAGGTACACAGGGCCCAGCACTTAGAAGGGCCTGGCGCTTGGTTGCAGGCTCTGCTGGTGCCATTTTGAAACTCATAATTTTTTAACAGGGAGCCCCACATTTTCATTTTGTACTGGGCCCCACCAGCCAGGCAACCAGTGCTATCAGGAGGATATGTGTCCCTGGAGATCAGCAGTGGCCAAAAGTGGAAGGGAGACATGTAGCTACAAGGATACACAGCTCCTCGACATAAAGTAGCAATCTCCCCCATCTGTGTTTGGCTCATAAAATTATACAGCTAAATAGACCCCCTCTTTTTTTTTTTTTTTCAAGAACAAAGGACCTTCCTTTTTACTTAGTTTGACTTAGGGGAAATATTACTTATGGACTAGACTAATTTTCTCTACAAGCCCAGTACAGCCTAAAGAAATTCTTATTTTATCATATAGCTTTCAGAAATGGCTTGTTTTCGCATCTCGTTTGATCCTCAAATCCCTTTATTGTCTTGTTCAAGGGACATTAATTGAGCATGAACAGAGGGTCAAGTACTTTTTTTAAGTATTGGAATTAGAATAGTTAATAGGATGGGTTTCTGCCCCTCCCCATCCCATGGAATCTGCAACCAGACTCTGGTGGTTGGATGTTTTAGTCTGCAGATGGAAGTCTGTCCCAGAATGGACTATACCCAGAGCCTGTACCTGATTTAGATGAAGGGATTTGGGACCTTCTGAGTTTATATTTAGATTATATTTTGGTCTCAGAGTTGGTGCATGAAATAGGTTAAGACATTTAGGGATGCTAGGATAGGGTGAATGCATTTTGCACATGTGATGAACAAGAATTTTGGGGAGCCAGAGGGCAGTGGACTGTAATGGGTTGAATAATGGCCCAAAGAACTAATGTCCTTCCTGGAAGCTAAGAATGTGACTTTATTTGGAAATGGGATCACTGTAGATATAATTAATTGGTTCAGATGAGGTCTTATTACTCCAGGAGGTGGACCCTTATTCCAAAATAATTGGTGTCCTCATGAGAAGAAGAGAAGAGATACACAAAGGAGAATGCCACATGAGGATGGGGACAGAGACTGGAGTGATACATCTACAAGCCAAGGATTCCTGGCAGCCACCAAAAGCTAGGAGAGAGGCATGGAACAGGGTCTCCCTGAGGATTCCCAGAAGGAACTAATGCTGACACCCCGATTTCTAGGCTCCAAAACTGTGAGAGAATGAATTAGTTTTAAGGTACCAGTTTGTGGTACTTTGTTATGGAAGCCCTAGGAAACTATTATAGGCAACTTGCTCAGTAACACACAGTGGACGAATGCCAAAGAATGGGCTGGAATTGCTACATTATGTTGATTTGTGAGCTACATATAGGATTAGCATGTAGTTTCTGGAGTCAGACTGCCTGGGTTCAAGCCCAAGCTCCATAGTCACCCTATACACCTTGGGCAAGTGACCTGGACTTGGGCAAGTTAACTTCTCTGTACTCTAGTTCATCCATTTGTACGATTTGTACTCAGAGCATCAATCTCATAGACACGTGAGGTTGACACGTACAAACTCTTAAAATGGTGCCTGGTGTCAAGTAAATGCTCAGTTTTGTGGTTATTGTTACAATGTCTCCCTAGGCGGCATTTTGAGGAGCCCTGTTTTACTTATGCTTGTGTCCTCGGTGGGTCCACTGAGACTAGTACATGATAAGAGCTCAAAAGACATTTGCTGAGTTATACTGGAGTCCATGAGTACTGCTACTTTAGTTTCAGTAGGGTGAGAGTGTGGAGTTAGCACAAATGGGGGTTCCCCTCATGAGGTCAGTCCTCCAAGGGCTACCTCTCTGCAGGTCATGTCAGAGACAGTAACTGCCTGCCGATGCTGGGGAGGAAAGTACGTCACCAGAATGGTGAGATGCTGCTCTCTGAGGAACCCCTACCTGGAGCCCATCACTTCTAATGGACTAAGGGAGCTGGTGCCTTTAAATTCCACAGAAAGGGAAGAAAAAGCACTTTAGTTTCAGTCCGTGTTCTCCATTAGACACCCTTCAGGTGTTAGCAATATTATGCCACAATTTCATTATCCATTAAAGCCAGGTAATAATAAGTACACAAAGGTATTTGGAGCCTATTGATGTTAATGAAAGAGATCAATCTAATTCAGAATGTGTGTGTGGAGAGCTCCTTGGAGATGGAATAGGCCCCAAGGTTAGCCTCTAATTGCCTCCTTGATGGTAGACCCCACCAGTACTCAATTTTGCATGACCGTCTTTATGACATAGTTGGAACTTTTGACGCCCAGACTCACGCTTCATACAGACGCCTGTCTTCCTTCTCTCCCAAGCCCCTCCCAACATTCCCAACTCAGAAAGAATGGGAAAGTTACTGCCATCTAAGTAAGATCCTTGCACAGGAGGGAAGGTTTCTTGGGTCTGGACCATGAGTCAGGCTCGATTAGCAGAAAGTCCATGATTCCAGGGATACTTGAGTGACCCTAGAGAGATATCTAGAACTCCAAATTCTCTTTCTTTTCTGTCTCTCTCCCTCTCTCAATCTGGTGGAGCTCAGAAAGATCTTCTATCAAGTTTATGAGCTGCATTCAATAGATAGCTCAACAAAACCACTCTAGAAAGGACAACTATGTTAGAGAAAGAGGATAGACAAGGCACCTCTCTTTCTCCAGTGCCCTTCTGCATTTTTCTAGGACTCCCCTGCATGGCCCCCACCTCCCACCTACGTGAACACTTCACTCAGTGTGAGGATAGCTTAGTGTTGGGCTCACTTTACTTCCCACAGTTGTCCACCCTCTTACATCCAAAATGAATTCTCACATTTTTATTCCTACGTCCTCCCACTTCTACCCTCATTCTTAAAAAAAAAAACAAAAAAACAAAAAACCTAAAACCCAAAACCCAAAAACAAAAAGCTGCCATACAGAAATCAAATCCTCACCCTGCTGTTTCTGGGAACCAGCACCTCCGATAATGTATTGGAGGTAACCTCCCCTCCTATGGCTGTTGGATTGGGAGCTGGGCTGCACACAGCCATCTCTGTAGGCAGAAGTGCCTGTGCTCTGGGCCCCCTGTGGAATGCAGCCGGACTCCAAAGTGTTAGCTGTGCCCTCTGATAAATAATATGTGTCCTGGAGCCAGCAGATATGATTGCACATTCGCTGGAACCAACAAGGCATTCTGAGCATTTGATTTCATATCAGGGGCAGCAGTATACATCAGGCCCAGAGTGACAAAAATATTTGGAACAGATCATTCTTCCTCCTGCCTGCCCCCACTTGTCTTCAACCCCCCGCTGGGCAGCCTGGACTAGGAAACAGCACATGATTAGTTTAAGAGGGAGATGGCCCTTTGCTGTCAGGACCCTAGTAGACCCAATGTTGGCATGGAACCAGGCTCTGAATTTCACATCATTGTCCAAGGGCTACTGAAGGACACCAGGATACTTGAGTTGTTGACTTCAGAGTATGATGATTGGTATGGAGTAAAAGAACATAAGCCTAGCCATGATACACATAACAGGCATGGGGAGGCATGGAGGCTGAGAGAGATCAAAGGAGACAGAGGACTGAGATAGTCACTGAATCTACTTTAAGTCTTTTCAAAGTTGTAGAACTGCTGCTGAGCCTAGCTCCCTGCCCTGGGAAACATGATCTGTGACTATTCAGGCTTCTTTCCCTACCCTGTTCCAGAGGGCCAGGGTGGAAGCCAGCCCTGCTAGAGAATCCACATTAGCCCCAGGGCAAAGGGACCCAGGAGAAAGCTCCAAAAGCATGAAATCCTATCAATGCCCACCTCTAGCATGCCTCAGTATGACCCTGTACATGGAGATGAAGTATGACAGTGAATGGAACAGAAGAATGGGATCACCGTTCCTGACATGCAGGGAAGCTTCTCCTTTCCTTAAATAATCTGTTATGTCTCTGTTCATCATATTTAAAATGGAGCTACTACAGAGAAAACCTTTTGCCACTACTGAGAGGACAAATTAATATTCAGGGCAAGGGGTGACATGTAGCCACAAATAGTGGCTGCTTTATGGAGAGTGTGTGTGCATGCATGTGTGTGTGTGTGCGTGTGCGTGCGCGTACTCCTTTATCTGTCCCATCTCTTGCCTGTGTTTGTCTCCGTCGTGCAGTGTAGGTAATGGTGTGTGCAGCGCTCTCTGGAGTGCTTGGTAGGTGCCTATGTTCCACCTTGCACGTGCTACTCCCTCACATTTCCCTTTAATGCTCTCCATTATTCGGGCTGCATTAATAATGTTTGTGGGCTGATATCTTTAAAATTAATGAGGTGTTTACTCTTAGCCAAGAAACTCATTGAAATTAAAAAAGCTTTCTTTTCTTCCCCTCCTTTTCTCTTGCTTAAAAAAAAAAGGTGGACAAACAAGCCACAATGCCAGCTTTGTTAAAATCCAAGCAGAACAGGGAAACACCCAAACCCCACCACCAAGAAGGTGTGAGTTGTGATTAGTTAGTTATCCATTGAGTCAGGTTCAAACAACAGCTATTTCTGGGAGGCCCTGATTTAACAAGAGCTTTGCTAGAAAACTGCATGGGACACCTATTAACAATGGAGGGGCATCTGTGGCCTCAATACTAGCTTATTTCAATACCACCCTCTCTTAGCATAGAATTATCCAGCATAACCATAGCACCTAGTCTAGTCTGAATTTTCCTTCTTATTCAAAGGGTTTGTTTCCAGAATTCACCCTGTGTATGACCCTGACTTGTCTATAGTCTCTGTTTTTCAATCAAACATCATCGGGCATGAAGGACTTTTCCCCACCCAACTACCACCACCACTAGCTGACTTGGTGCAGAAAAGCAGAAATGAATACTAATCATGGGTCTACCAGTTGCATAAACTTGCTGCAAACCACTTATCAGAACAGTTTGCCAGAAAGGCCAGGGAAGGAAGGGTGGCTGCCTCTGGAATGTAAAACATTAGGCTTCACTGTCCTGCACCCCACCTCCTAAGCTCCTGCTGGAACAAATTTCTCCATGACAATGCAGCCAAGAATATACCTGGTGGTGCAACTGAGAAGTCTGGCTTCTCAATGAGTCCTTTTTGAGCAGTTGTTCTCTCTGATTCAGAAACCACCATAGTCTCTGAGGACCCTGTAGGTGATTTGTTAACTAATTGCTCAAGATAGTCCAGTTAATAATGATAATCTTATAAATTTGTATCTGGGATTAATAATTTACTTAGTTAAAAACAGGACAATAATGTTGAAGAGACACTCTTCTCCCAATTTTTTTTTTGTTGTTGTATGTGGGTTTTCTTTTTTCCCTCTCTGTAGCAATTAGGAATGAGGATGTTAGTATGTACAGAAGGCTTGAGGATGTCTGCTATGGTGGGTGGCTCAGGTGCCTGAAAATCATTCTTTCTATACCCACATACAGAAGTCCTGCATCTGTGACTAAATCTCTGGGCTGTGAAATGCCTTAACACAAGGGGATGTCCAGAGCCTCCAGAATCATCTGTTCTCAGAGGTAATGAGTGAGAATATGCAACAGAGCAGTGACTCCTCAGCCCAGCATGGCAAGCCTAAGCCTGCAGGGAAGTGGCCAGCGGGATCAGGGAGGAGAAGGACCTACATTAAACTGAATCTGTGCAAAATCTCCAGCGCTGCTCTGCAGGATGTTGTATGTTGAGGACACGGAAAGAAGTTCCCACTCACTGTCATTCATAAATTCTTTCTTGTCTTGCTTAATGTCGTCTCTGCTCCTCAGGAAGGCCAGGTTGACATCTTCCACTGAAAACAACATAAACAAGTGACTTCCCCACAGAGAGAGGCACCCGTAATAGCCCCCTTTCCCAACTTCCAGTTCAAATTCTTCCCTTTGCTCCTGCTGCCACGTGCACAATCTCCCTGAGATGGGGTTCCATACAACCATTATGAATGAGGGATAGAGATGTGGAATAAAACCTTTCTAGCAGCGAAACAAACAAACAACCTAACCGTGAATTTACAGTTTGTACTCCATTATCCGTAGAATGATAGTGCTGGTCCTGATTTCTATAACCTTCTTGATGGCAGCAGAGGGTGAATATGGCATTCCCAAACCAACAGCAGCAGTGAGCTATGTATCTGGGCACAGCACTGTACATTGTCTGAATTACAACAGAAACCAACTAACTGGGATCCCTGGGTGGCGTGGTGGTTTAGCACCTGCCTTTGGCCCAGGGCGCGATCCTGGAGACCCGGGATCGAATCCCACGTCAGGCTCCCGGTACATGGAGCCTGCCTTTCCCTCTGCCTATGTCTCTGCCTCTCTCTCTCTGTGTGACTATCATAAATAAAAAAAAAAAAGAAAAGAAAAAAAAAGAAACCAAATAACTATAAGAAGAGATTTAGGTTCTTGTCACTTCTGTGCAAGAATAAAATAAGCCTCATAGACAGAATCTCACCTATGTGTGCCAACCCAGCATGAGTGTGTCTCCCACCAGCAGACTAGGCCTGTCGTGGTTTACCTGTGTGCAGGATGCTACTGAAGGTCAGGCTGCAGTTCTGGATGTCAAACGGAAAAGCGTATGTCTCTAAACTGCATGTAGTAACAACCTGCATAGGCTTAGAGTTCTTAATGGTCCCAGAAGAGTTCACATAGACATACGGAAGGTCAGGTGACCCCTCAACGTCCACCCTATGAGAAACACAGGAGACCTTGCTGTTACAGAGAGGGCCTTCGTCATTTCAATCCACAAACGGAACTGATTATGAGATGGTAGTGACCATGATATCCAGAACTAGCCTAGAAGTGCAAAGACAGATTCACATTTCCCATGATAGAATTCACCCTGGCAAAGATGGATTCAGGAATGCCTCAAAAGTTAATTTACTTGCTACTCTTGCAACACAGGTATAACCCATGGGTAACCTCAAGCATTTGTAATCAAATCTCTATCTATCTTAAATGATGTCAACCCATGGTCCTTCTAACTTGAATATTCCCAACACTGTGATTCTCTTCAAGTTGAGAAACAAAAAATAGCAACAATGACCAAAACAGCAATGGGCCTGAATAGTCCAAGCAGCTTAAACCCCATGGAAATACACCCCGGAACACTTACAATTCATTAATGATGATGTCAGGGGCCCAGATGTCACTTAGAGGTAGAGAAATCTCTCTAATCTCATCAAACATGCTGGGGTTCCAGGATAAAAACTCATCATCCCAAACCTGTTAGCAGTAGCCAGAACAGAAATTTATTAAAAGGGGGAAATGTCAAGCTCACCAAAGAACCGAAGAGGGATTTGGCTGAATAACCCAACTGATCTGCTTGTTGGCACTATTAGGGGAGAGGACTTTCCTTCTAGCTCCTAAAGATGGTGCCCTAACCAGAAAACATGGCCACGTATCTTACACAGATTCTAATAAATTAGGTCTGCTGCAGAAGCTAACTTGCAAACACAAAGAAAATATCTATTCCTTAGAATAATTATATTTTGCAACAGATTAAGATCAAGAGTCCAGCATGTATGGAAGGAAACATCATTTACCTCTTGGTACCATATACTTGTCTTTAATTTTTGGTTCTGTGCATCCTGCAAAGCAAAACGAAAATGGGTACCAAATATTAGAATGTCAATAAATCAAAGTCTAATTCCACAGTACGATAACTCAGAGAAAGAAAATCAAATCTAACTAAAAATGTTGATTTTAAAAGCACCTCCTTAACTGTTTAAATCTGAGTATTCTTGGCTCCTATTTATTACACACGTCTGTCATTACAAACTTTGCTATAGCATCTCTGACAAAATGGTGCTATGACTACACCTGACATCTTGAATGATTTGCTAATCCCTTTCCACCCCAATTAGTTACTCTGCCATTAATCAAATTAAAAAATGACATGTAGCCTTAGCCAACTCTGGGCTAAAAAGATGAGACCAAGCTTTTATTTGTAATCACGATATTATTCATAATATTTTAATGAGTGTTATCTCAACTGCTCTTGGCAGCCATTCCTGTGAAGTTACCTTATGTTTAGATTTCTCTGCTTATCAAACAGACTGAATGAGCTTAATGTAAATGAAATGCATTTTTGGTGATATAAATAGATGTGATTTCTCTATGTCTGCAATGAGTCAGTAAATTTTTTTAAAAGGCCCCAAAGAATAACAACCAAAAAAGAACCCCTTCCTTACTTGTTTTCATATTTACTTTAGTAAAGCATATTCTAAAACTACTATGTTCTTAGGAATTAAGAGGACTATCTCACACCATGTACAAACATTAACTCATTAACTCAGAATGGACTGTTTTGAACCTAAATGTAGGAACTAAAACTATAAAACTCTTAGAAGAAAACATAGGAGGGGTGCCTGGGTGGCTCAGTTGGTTGGGCAGCTGACTCTTGGTTTTGGCTCAGGTCATGATCTTGGAGTCTGAGGACTGAGCCCCTCACTGGGAAGTCTGCTTGAAGGTTCTCTCTCCTTCTTCCTCTGCCCCTCCCCCCACTCAAGTGTGCCTGCTCTTTCTGTCTCAAATAAACAAATCTTTTTTTTTTTTTTTTTAAAAGAAAACATGGAAGTAAATCTTTGTGACTTGAATTAGGCAGTCAACTCTTAGTTTGGACACCATAACCACATGAAACCAAAGAACACGTAAATGGGATTTCATCAAAATGAAAAACTTTTGTACTTTAAAGGACACATCAAGAAGTAAAAAGACAACCCACAGAATGGAGATAATATCTGCAGATCATATATCTGATACGGAGTTAGTATCCAGAATATACAAAGAATTTCTACAAATTAAAACAAAACAATGACCCTACTTCAAAATGGATCTTCCTTCAAAGTGGATATACAAATGGCGAATAAACATATGAAAAGATATTCAACATCACTGCTGTGGATCAAATTATGTTATTATGTCCTTCCAAAATTCATATATGACTAAATTTGGAGATGGGACTTGTTTTTTTTTAAGATTTTATTTATTTATTCATGATAGACATAGAGACAGAGAGAGAGAGAAGCAGAGACACAGGCAGAGGCAGAAGCAGGCTCCATGCCAGGAGCCCAATGCAGGACTTGGTCCGGGGACTCCCAGATCACTCCCTGGGCCAAAGGCAGGTGCCAAACCGCTGAGCCACCCAGGGATCCCTGGTGATAGGACTTTGAAGAGGTAGCTAAAGTTAAATGAAAGCACCATCTATTAGGATTGATGGCCTTAGAAGAAGAGGAAGACAGAATGATCCCTCTCTCTCCCCCGTGTGGGTATATAGGAAGAAGGCAGCTATCTGTAAGCCAGGAAGAGAGCTCTCACCAGGAATATAATTGGCTAGAACTTTGATCTTGGACTTCCCAGCCTCTAGAACTGTGAAAAATAGAGTCTGTGGTATTTGTGATGGCAGTCCAAGCTGACTTATACAATCACTAATCATTAGGGAAATGCAAATTAAAGCCACAGTGAAATACCACTTTACTCTCATTAAGATGGCTGCTAAAACAAAACCAAAAAAAAAAAAATCAAACAAAAACAGAAAATAAGTGTTAGTGAAGATGTAAAGAAATTGAAATCCTTGTGCACTACTGGTGGGAATATAAAATGGTACAGCTGCTATGGAAAACAGTGGCAGTTCCTAAAAATTAAAAATAGAATTACCATATGGTCTAGCAATTCCATTCTTTGGTATAAATCCAAAAGAACTGAAAGCAAAGGCTCAGTTATTTGTACACCCATGTTCACAGCACCATTATTCACAATAGCCAAGGGGTGGAAGCAACCCAAGTGTCCATCAAAGATGAATACATAAGCAAAATGTGGCATATACATACAACGTAATATTATTCAGCCTTAAAAGAGAAGGAAATTCTGACCCATGCTACAGCATGAATGAACCTTGAGGCGACACCACTTCCTTCCAAGTTTTACCAGCTGAGAGATTCTGAAATAGATAATGTTTTTTACAATCAGCATTATTTAGTTAGATTTGATTTTCTTCCTCTAAGCTCTCATGCTGTTGAACTAGGCTTTGATTTACTAACATTGATGTGATGTCTCCCCCCACTAAAGCACAAAGGGCTCAGTTCTAGGCTTAGCGGCCATCAATGAGGGGTCCCCCCAAATAGGGGGGTAAATCAAGTTCAAAATACAGTTTGTATTACTGGAAAATATAGGTTTTAACTATTCTTTCACAACAAATATATTTTTAGAACTGTGAAACATCCTGACCATTTTTTTTTAAATCTCTGTCATGCCAAGTCCTGAATGTATCACTGACTCAGTCATGTGGCTGGGGAGACTATTATTTTATCCAGTTGATTGTTATTAACTGCCATGTTGATGCCTTAGCTCATTTTCCTCTTCCTGCCCATTGCTTTGTCATATTACATGTAACAAGTGTTAAGAATTTTTCCCCAATATATCGTGGGGGGGGGGGGGTCTGGGAGCATTTGTCATTCAGCCCTAAAGAACACAATGTCAAAAAGGAGTTTGAAACTAAAACTGATTTTTTTTTTTGTCAAAGGAAACAAGTTTCTCAATGCCAGCTGGTGAACATAATTGGTTCTCTGGTGGCATTATTCACAGCTTTTCCCTCTGTGTATCTCTCTCTCTCTTTTTTTCTTTAGATACCTTCCATCTTGCTTGTTAAAAGCAAAGGATATTTCAGAGAATTGGAATTCATTAGTCTTCCTAACAGAGGGAGTCTATTTAGATCTAAATTGGTGGTTAGCAAATATACAGATAATTCCCGCACATTCTTATTTATCTTTCCCAGTTCCAAAGACTATAGAAACAGATGCCTCAACGTCTGGCTGGGAGGCTCTAGTCAATGGACTGGAATACAAAGGTATCTGGGATTCGGAATTGACAAAACTCAATAGAAACAAATTGAAACTCTTCACTGTTGAGTAGACTATCTCTATAATCAGATTTCCCTAAGGTACTCATAATACCCAGAAATTCTAAGACGAGACTGTAGTCTTTCATATAAACAAAACAGGAGGCAAAACATTATAATGGGAGCGAGGTGCCATGGTGAAAGCAGGGCTGAAAGCTCTTCACTCCAAACAAAAGTTGCCAGAAGCTCAGCTGCTGGCAGATGTACCCAACAAGTTATCTATTCTTGTCCGATCCTGTGCAGGATTTCATCAAGTCTTTCAGAACTGGTCCCACCTCCACAATGAACTTTAGACTCAGCCCTGCTGAATGTAATGGAGACATTTGCGAAGCATATTAGACTATTTTAATCAATTAATTACTTGATGGGTATCTATCCAGTATGTTTGAAGTAAGATATGCTGCACTGCATATTTTGGGGAATATGAATATTAGTAAGCCCGTCCTTCCCGCAGGCAGCTTATTAGTAAATTAGTGCATGTGACATCTTAACAAATAGCTCTGTGTGTTATGAGATATGTAGACTTCAATGGATTTAAAGGAAGGAGACATTGCTGTCAGCTTGCAGATATGAGGGAAATCTCTTTCGGGAGCTGAGATTTGAAGTACTGTTATATTTTGCAGATGGAGAATGAAGACAAAGACTTCCTGTGGAGGAAAGAACATATAGGCAAGAGACAACAAGAGGTTGGTTTCTTTGCAGTATTGAGGAGATGAGGCTAAGGTAGTAGACAGGGATAAAACTACAGGGATGGGCTATGAGATTTTTCCAGATTTCTGAAGGAAAGTCAGGCATATCCAATATGACACATTTACTGTCATAACGTATTCTAGTAAGAAATTAGGCTAGGGGCACCAGGGTGGCTCAGTGGTTGAGCATCTGCCTTGGCTCAGGTCATGATCCTGAGGTCCTGAGATCGAGTTCTGCATCGTGCTTCTCCCTCTGCCTATGTCTCTGTCTCTCTGTGTGTCTCTCATAAATATATAAATAAATCCTTTTAAAAATTAGTATATTCCATGATAGTGGAGAAAAACATATCTTTGAAAAGATAATGGTGTTCTCCTTAATGACCAGAAAGAATCTGGTTTTATTTTCATTTATCAGGATAGAAAGAAACAGATTTTTAAAAATTCAATTTGACACAGTTGTCCTAAGGGAAAATACTAATATAGAAACTTTACTTCTTTTCTATATTTATCTCCAAATAATCCTCTGGAGGAAAGTGAAGTATGAGGTAGAAAGAGGGAGAATGAGGATTGACCTAGGGTGGTCTTATTCCTTTATCCAAAGTTGATCATCAGCATGTCCTGGGGCTTTGCATGACATGGCTCACATCATGTGTCTTTATTCAGACCATGCTATTCCCATTGTACTATGTCTGTAAGCACTGCAGGCATGAAAACCCACTGACAAGTAGCAAGGACTAATATCTCTTAAGTACATGAAGATACAGCTCCAGGAAATTTACTCTCAAAAATTTTAGTTCAATATCCAATTACAGAGGAAATTTAAGGAAGTTTTCTGTTGAAGCTTTATGTAAGACCAGGCTTTGGAGTTGGGTGGATATTTCCTGGCATTTAATTAATAGTTTCCAGAATCTTAAATCTAGAACTTTTGCTAAAACTGATTTTTTTTGTGTGTGTGTGCATATCATTTAAAGTTCCTGTTTACAAAGAAATAATGATTAGGGAT